ACCAGCCCCCAAAGCTGCTCGTAATTACTGATGATGGTGGGCCACTTCCTACGCGACCTGAGGAGGCCGGCTGGTGCGGGGAGTCGGGGTACAGAGGCTCCCTCTTGGGCGGGCAGGACGTCAGGGAGAGGGTTTGGCAGTGCTGATTTTCCTGCTCGCCGTCACCGTCCCTGGAGGCCAGGATCCATCCAGGGTCCGTGCTGACCGAGGGGGAGGAGGTCGGACTCTGGCCGCAGGACCCTGCCTGTCCCCGAGGGCAGAATCCAGACCGCCTCTGGTTAAGTCTCACTTCCTGCCAGGAGGGCTGTGTCCCCAGACCCAGACTGCAGGGCGAGCTGGCCTACTCAGTAAATGGCAACGTCCAGTTCTGCTGACGGCCACCAAGAAGAGCGCCAGGTTCACTCGGGGAGCTTCAGAACAAGAAAAAACACGTCTTTCAGCCTGACTGTGGACACGAAGTAATTCTAAATGTGAATGTTAGAGTGAAGAAGAGGATTAAGTTTCAGAAACTATCCATCAACTCTGAGGCAAAAATAAACACTCAGGACTCACATCTCAGAGAGGGAGACAAAAGAGAGCAAAACACCCTCTACCCTTTCAAGGAAGAAGAAAAATGACAGATGCTAGAACCAGATTAGAGACAGAAAAGGTAAAGAGGGACTGATTTGCGGAGACAGTGCTACTGCAGATTAAAAACTAGCATAGTGTGTGTGTGTGTGTGTGTGTGTGTGTGTGTGTGTGTGTGTGTACAAGGGAATACTACTCAGCCATAAAAAAGAATGAAATAATACCATTTGCAGCAACATGGATGGACCTAGAGATTACCATACGAAGAGAAGTGAGTCAGGCCAGTAAAGACAAATACCACATGGTATCACTTATATGTGAACCCTAAAAAAAAAAAAAAAAAAACCACAAGCGAACTTATTTACAAAACAGAAAGACTCACAGACACAGAAAACAAACTTGTGGTTACCAAAGGCGAAATGGGAGAGGGATAAATTAGGGGTTTGGGATTAGCAGATATAAACTACTATATACAGAATAGATAAACAAAAAGGTCCTACTGTAGAGCACAGGAAGCTATATTCAATTGCTTGTAATAACCTATAATGAAAAAGAATATATATATATAACTGAATCACTCTGCTGGACACCAGAAACTAACACAACATTGTAAACCAATTATAGTTCAATAAAATAAATAAATAAATAAATTTTTAAAACTAATGCTGCATATGCAGAGTGGATAACTTTATTACTCACTGATTACTGGTTTTACTTACAAAAGAGACTTCATTGTTCTAAATACATTCAATAGGATCATAATTATAAAGTGTTCTGAGCACTTCAGACACTCAACATAAAAGCCCTGCACTGTTGTGGGGTTTTGGCCCCTTTAATCTGCCACCCCACAGAGCCCTCTCCAGAATCAGTGCTTGGCAGGAGCTCTCACTGGCCCCTGGCAAGTGGGTGAAACTAGCGTGTAGAAGCCGCAGGGCAAGCAGTGTGATTTGAGGGTATCAGGAAAGCTTCCTACCCTATTCAGTGCCCAGAATTTTCCATCTCATCACAATGCCTCATCTTCCACTAATTGCCTACTTACATTTCCAGATTTCTGGTATTCATTCACTCCCCTATTTAAACAGTGGGTGTCTGGGAGAGTTGCAGATTTGCTTGTGTAGGAGTAAGGGAGGGAAAGGGATGGTACATTTGACCTTTCATTCACACCCTGGCATGAATTCCTTTAATTTCATGTGTCATGTTGCTGTCTATCCTGCAGGAGCTAGCAGAAATCTCTGGAGTGAGGTGATAGGAGGTTTGGTTATGTGATGGTGCAATGAGAAAAGAAGTAATTTCAGAGCATCAGGGCACTGAAATCATTTGAAAGCACATACTTGAGAGGATTACGGGTGGCAAGAAGGAAAGTGGAGTGGGGCCAGCTGGATGGCAGCACCTTGTCCCTGGTATTGGACCAAGAGGGACAGTTTACTTGATGCCAGCCCTACAGTTTTAGACGTAGGCTCTGTGTTCTGGTATCTACTCAATGAATTGAACACATTGAAATAGTCCCATTTATATCAACAAATAACGTCCAGTGTGAGTAGAAATTTCTACAGAAATAGAATTTCTGTAGTACTGATTAAGACTTTATTTGTATAAACCCAAAATGTAATTATGCAAGAGTTCACCAAATATTTTTGTATCCATGGGCATGTTAGGTAGTACCTGCTTATTCAATGGCAAAATAAATATCAGATATCTTTTAAGGTTCGTGCTTATAACAGGAATGAAGTAATTTAAAACAAAAAACTTCAGAAAATATGTGGTTTTGCTTTCATTTAATTCTGAAACACCAGCATTCTGACCTCAAACCAGAATGAACTCCAGCCATCTCCTACTCAGCTTAATCAGCCTCCCCCCCCCCCCCGCCCCCGCCTTTTGCTTAATTTTGCTGTTCACGGGCTCTTGGAAGTCAGACCATAAAGACTTTTAATTCAGTGGTCTATTCATTAACCCACACCCCTTCTTAGATTTTGTAGATCAAGGTCCAGGACCTGGACTTGGGAGCACGGACCTCAAAGTCGCCGACATCTGATGACATTCTGTGAATCTAAGCTTTGCTTCCCAGCCTTTTCAGCCGCGCACTGTGAACTCGGTGGGTATTTTCAAGGACTCACCAGGAGGCACACTCATCTCCCTCCGTCCTGTCCTGTCACTAATCCAGCCACTTCTCCCTCCCACCCCTAACCCCTGCCCATTTGGTGTGTGCCTTCTGGAATATCATGAGTCTTTTTGTGCTTTTTTGTAATCATTCTAAAAGTTTAATGACTTGGGTTGTGATTAGAATAGGATTAACCTGACAAACAGATTAAAAATCCGATTGAGCTTTCTTTTTGGAGCTGATGGCCTTAAATTCTGCTAACGAGAGAGAACTTTGTCTTCTCGCCCATGGTAGACATTTTTCACTTGTTGCAGGATCTAAAATTAGAATACTCTGAGAGCCATTGTGTGATATATTTGGCCACAATTTTAGCAAATGTATTTATTTCAAGATGTAATTTCTTATGTTTCTGTCATTTCTAAAGCAAGTTGTAAATTAAAAAGCATACACAAGATGGGGAGGGTAGAGCTCAGTGGTAGAGTGCGTGCTTAGCATGCACAAGTTCCTGGGTTCAATCCCCAGTACCTCCATATAAACAAACAAACAAACCTAATTACCTACCCACCACCACCTAAAACAAACAAACAAAAAAGTAAACTGAAAGGATCTTTAAAGTTAAACAATTTTTTTCGTAAGTTTACACAAAGCTTTTTGAAGATCTTTATATACAACCGTGTATACACGAAGTGGAACCGAGAACTCAGCATGTAATCATGGATTCTTCCATATAGGTTTTAAATTGTTGCTTTATCACCCGAACAACATTTTGTTTATTTAGTTAGGGACAAGGGCAAGTCTTTTTTTTTAGCTGCTATGTGACCTGGCACAATGCTAGGCACCTAGTGATACAAAAACATTTTTTTAAAGAAAGTATTATTAGATGTAACTTGTTGAGTGCCTGAGGCAGGAGGGAAGGGGGCAGGGCATAACCATTAAAAGAATGGCAAAGCCATTGAGGATAGGACATAAATTGGTTAGAACCAACTAGGTCTAAGATGGCAGAAGATTCTCCGGCAGACATTGAGTCTCATTATGCCTTCATTACAATAAAATTAGCCTTGCAGATATGAAGTATCCATCATGCACTGGCGCCATGACACTTCCGATCAAGACTAAATAAGGACAAAAATCCCTCCTCCCCTCGGGAAGGTGGAGCTGGGATAAAAATCAGAAAATGCGACCCCAAATGCCTCCCTCCCCAATGAACTTATTCCACCCAATCATTTTTACACCCCATGTAACCAGCTTGCCAAAGAAACTCAGTGCAGCTACACACCTGAGTCTGCCTGCTCTCCCCTTGAGAGTGTGCTATCATTTAATAAGTGCTCCCTTTGCTTTCTTGACCTCTTGTCTCATCTCCAAATTCTTTCTGTGATGAGACAAGAACCTACGCTCTAGTAACATATCTACTGTGTGTAAACCACAGTGCCAAGCTCTGCAATGAACATAAAGATGGGTGAGGTTCAGTCCATGACTGCCAGGCCTTTACCATCCATCAGGAGAGGTAACATTGTAACAGAAATAGAAAGCAAACACTGGCAGTCCCAGCGGGGGAAGATCCCTTGTGGGGTTCCGAAAAGTTATCCCAGGAGCATGTTCACTTAGACTGAGCTTGATGTGTAAGCAGACTTGGGGTAAGTGAAGCCAGACCAGGGAAGGGCGGAAAGCGTCTTAGTTGGTTGGAAGGTGGGTGGCATTTGTGAGACAAAGGGCTCCAAGAGAGGTGAGAGCTGTGGCTTTGACCTCAGACTGGGGAGGGTTTCAGATTGCGTGCTCTATTCCTTAGGCAGTGGGGAGCTATTGAGCATTTTAAAGCAACGCAATCTGAGCATTAGAGGATCTGACTGGCACTTGGGTGTCCAGCAGGTTGGGGGTGGAGACAGAGATTAGAGGCTGGGGGAGTAGTTGAGAGGCTAACACGTTTTTTGAATTGAGAGGAAGTGAAAGCCTGCTTTAGGTGGCAGAAAGCAACGGACAGGAAACAGAAATACTAGCACTTGATAGATTCCTCATGGGTTGT